GGACCCCATTAAAGTGATCTTTGACAGCAAGACCCGTGCCAGATGCAGTGCCTCTCTGCTTATGTGGTCATGTTGCCCATGGTCACATCCCTCTGCCCACATCCACTGGGGGCCAGTTCCAAGGAAGCCGAACGACAAGCCCAAATCCAGCCTTGCCTGCCCCCCCACCCCCCATCACTCACTTGATCTCTTCTCCTCTCTAGTCCTTCACACCCCTTTCTCCACTTGTGTTGCTGCCCCGTGTACCCCTGCGTTTGCCCTGCTTTGAACAGCGCAAAGAACCACCCTGAAATCCCTGGCATCAGCTGCACTGTCCTGAAAGGAGGTCAGAGGCGGATAAGCCAGGATAAGGGATTGGGACGGAGCCATAGGCAGGAGCCCAGAGACCACAGTGAGGAGGAGAGAGGAGCGAGGCTGAAGGCTGGGCAGCCTCCCTTGAAGAGGGGGTGGGCAGGGCAGCCCGGGAGACTGGCACTGTTTCATGGCACTGCATGTCGCCAGGGCATCGTCTCGCTGGAGTTTGCGCTGCAGCAATTCCCCCTCCCCGCCAGGCAGGCCAGCATGGCGAAGACCTTTCCCCCAAGCCACCGCCATCAGTCCCGTGTGCTGCTGCGATTCCCCCTGGCTGGGCACTGCTCCCAGGAAGCCCGCACTGCTGCAGTGTTGTGTCTGATGCAGCTATTGCTTGCTTGACTGTCACCTCCTCTCCCTGCTGCCCCCCCCTCCCCTGTGTGCTGTGGGGCTGTGCAGATAAGAAAACATCCCCTCTCCTCCCTCCCTCTCCCTGGGACCCAGCTGAGCGCCTGTGTTTATGTCAACACCTCGGGAGACTGGGGGGCTCTGAGGCTGGGTCCTTTCCCCAGCAGTGCCCAAACTGAGCTTGACCTCCGCCCACCATCACCCCCCTCCCCCAGGTAAAGCTCCATCCCGCAGCACCTCCCGGCAATGCCCTCGGGAGCACCACCTATCCTTGTTGGTTGCCCCCCTCCTGCAATTCCCTAGGTTCCCATCTGAAATGATGCTTGCCGCGGGTAGGGAAGGAGGGAGTACCTGAAATTAAAATATGAAAGAAAAGTGAGAAGGGTGGGGGTGAGGAGAAAGAGGTGGGAGGAGCAGGGGGAGGAAGCGAGGGGAGTTTAGTTGTTAATGCCGCTCACCGTGGTCCTTCTCCGCAGGGACCCGAAAGTGCGTGTGGGCTTTGGAGGGCACAGGGTGGGGAGCAGAAACATGCATGCGGTGAGGGGGGTGCTGGCCGTGGGGAGACACTTACCTTCCTAGGGCAGGGGTGAACGAGGGATTGAAAGAGTGCTGGCAGAAAGGAGAGAGGACGCAGCTGAGGAGGGATGCAGGACCTCAAGGGGAGATGATGTGTCCTCTAAGCCAACGGCGGCGGCGGCAGCAGGATGGAGACGCCCCTGAGAGGGCCGGGACAGCAGCATGTGACCCAGAGCTGCGATGAGTCAGGGTTTAGCACAGCTTTGCAAACAGCACGTAGAGGATGGGGAGAGAGAGAGAGAGAGAGAGAGAGAGAGACAGGGGATAGACAGAGACAGACGAGGGTGAGAGAGCCAGGGAATGGGGGTGGGTGGGCAGGATAAACAATTCCAGTCACTCCAGGCTCATTAATTATTTTTATTCAAATCAGAAAATCTTGTAGGATTTTTGGGAGCCATAAATCGAACCACAGAACCTGTAACTCTCCCCTTTTCCCTCTCAGGCCTACTGAGAATAGAGCGTATGAGTGCAGTGAATGCAAAAACACTGCAGTACCTCAGGGCAGCTTCGAGGACCGGGGTGGGTAGCCCTTCTCTTTTCTCCAGGGACAAAATGAGGTGAAGGTAGCTCTGCTACCTGCAGCTCTCACCTTCCCAGCCGCGCATGTGGGGGAAGGCATCTCCAAATCCTGACTGGCTCTGGGAACAGGTGTTAAAACCAGGGGTCACTCATTCACCTCACCCTGGAGAGATTCCTCCATTTCCTGAAGAAGGAAAGAGGGAGAAGTTAAATGACTCCACGCCTGACTTCTTTTCCCCTTTCACCGTTCAGTTCTGCTAGTGGGGTCAGGAATGGCAGCAGGGTTGCGATGCCGGCCATCACAACCAGGTTGCGAAGCCCGGCCTCTGTTTCAGGCTCCTCTGCCCTTGGGACTGACCTTCCTCAGCCTTCTACTCATGTAATCTAGAGGAGGAGAGGCTGGGTCAGCGTGTTTGATCCTCTCTTTTCCTTCACTTCCTTCTCCTCCCCTGCCATGCTGTTCTCACCTTTTCTTCTTCCTGTCTTTTCTGACAGATTTTGTTCGCCTCTGCCCGCTCATCTTGCTCAAATAGTTCCTTGTCAAGGCGTTGCAGGTGTGGCAGCAGGACCAGGACCTCCAGCCGGTAATTGGGTTCATCAGAGCATGGATTGTCCAACAGCACCAGTGCCTGCAGCATGGGGAGGACCTGCAGTTTTGCCACCTCCTGAAGGCTACTGATCCCATTGTTCCTGAAGAAGAGGAAGCACAGAGGGCAGGGGAAAGAGACACATGCAAGTAGTGAGGTCCGTTCAGAACAGTAAGCTGACAAGACAGACAAAGCAAAACTTAGCAGTATGATAGACCATAGACCTTAGACCACAGACCTGTGATCTAAGATCCAGATCTGCCTGCAGCTCCCCAGACTGAGGGACAAAAAGGACATCTCTGGATTTCTCTGTGCTCAAACAGTCCATCGAATTGTCTGAATCACCATTGCCCTGTGTGGCAAATGCCAAAAAGTAAAGGGCACTTGTGGTCATGTCCAGGACACAGAGAACACACAGAGAGGGATCCAAAGGAGTTATGGCAAGGAATAAAAAATATGAGGTGGGATCTGAGAGGGACTGAAGAGGTAGCTGTTTTCTGAGAAGCCCGGGAAAGGTCCTGGCTATTGTACTCCTAGACAATTGAGCACTGAACACCAGTTAAGGACAGTAAAGATCAACCCATTCCCATCAGGTCTTCAACTTCCAAAGGAACCAGAAAATCCTAAAGACCTAAACGGGAGTACAGCCTGATGAAGGAGTCTCTGGTCTGGGCAGAGAGCAGGGAGGACCTACCGTAGATTGAGGTACTGCAGGCACTTCATGCTACTACAGAATCCATCCAGGCTCTCGAGCTGGTTGTCACGCAGGTGCAGAGTTGTCAGCTGCCCTAGCCCCTCAAGGCCTTCAAGGCTCCGAATGGCATTCTGGGCCTGAGCACCAGGGAGGAAGGAAAAGAGAAGGAAAAAGGGGACACATAGGAGAGGGAACAGCAGTTATTTCTGGCCTTTAAAGCTCTTTCTACCCTTCAGACTCCCTACCACTCCTAACACAGCCTTCTCTGAAGCTACATCAGGTTACTCAGCGTCTTGCTCAAATGGGTTCTAAGTATTCAGATTCAAGGACCAAAAGTTTGCTGAAAAAGGGTTTCCTGTAGCATCACTTGGTGACTGAGACAAAACCACCCCAGATGAATACTCCACTGCCAGTACAGCACCCCCTTCCGTGGCAGTGCCGAATCTGAGTCCCTAAGGCCTCAGAGAGCAACAGCATGGAGGGGAAAGCACGGACCTAAGCCTGAAACAAGTGCATTTAAAGGATGAATAACCAGCCTCTCTCAGTCACATAGTCCATGTAGTCCAGGGATCTTCCAGTGTCAGCTGCTTCTCTTGTGGGGACAATCTACTACCAAGAAGTCTCCCCTTCTACTCTTCTAGGAGCAGAAGCAGGCGGAGTGTTTCTGAGAGAGGTTGCGGGGGGGGCGTTGTTGGTTTAATTTTAAGCGTTTCCTGGTTGTTGGATAATTGTTGTTATCCATCCATAAGTGCACCTTCTTGCAACAAATTTGACAATCTTACAGCAGGAAGAATATGTCCTATCAGTTCAAAATTCCCCATCACTGAATTTCATTCACTTCACTGTGATGTGAGTTATGAGAAGGGGACATGAGAAGCTCTGAATTTCAGCAAGTTTCACAGCAGGATTTCGGCTGGAAAAGACCACTAGAAGTCCCTTGCCCAGCCCTGGGCCCACCGCAGTGCTGGCACCAACGCTCGGTCCGTCTGCTCACAGCCTTGTGCAGCCAAGTTTGGAACACCCCTGGTAACTACAACCTCCCTGCCACGTTCTCCAGCCTGGAGCTGTGCAGGGCTTCACTTGCGTTTGTGGCTCAGGGCTGCAGTCTCTAAGGATGCAGACACCTGCACGGGAAACGGGGAGGAAGGTGCTGTCGTGCTCTCTGTTTCTTGTTGCTACCCAGGCAGTGACGTGGCCAGTGCCCGAGACTAATGAAAGGGGCACAGGCTGAATTGGTGGGATAAGAGAACAGTTTAGGACTGGGTCACTCAGGAAAAGGATATTTTGTACAAAAAGAGGACTCTAATGGAAACCAGACAAGGAAAAGCCTGGACCAGCTGGGCCAAGTAAAGAGGGTAACACGAGGACAACAAGAGGAAAGTTGGAGATGTAGCGAAGGTCGTGTGAACGGATTTAACAACCAGGAAGGATTAGTAAATTGTACCTCAGTGGAAATCAGGAGCTGGTGTGGGAAATGGGGTGGGCAGCTCACATAAATATGAATAATAACCTGTAAAATGAATAATAACCTCCCATCACTCTCACTTTCTTCATTACATCAGTTGTGAATAGCTTTAGCGACTCTGGCCCTGCAAGCACTAACAGGACAAATGCAGAATGGATTTTTTTCAGGGTTGGGTTTTTTCCCCTAAATCAAAGAACATTCCATATGACTCCTTTAATTAAATGCTCACATCATCACCTTACCTTAGATGCCAGTTCTTCACATAGATGTGATGCCACCATTTCTTATGGAAAGCTTCTATAATATGGTCCCCATGATTCCCTCTCTCCTTCCTGCATACCTGACCTTGCCCTAGCTAGTCTTTGTCACCACTGCTGCACAATGACCAGGAACCAACACAGCCCTACCGACAGCAGCGATCCTCAAACCGATACAAGTGCCACGTGGTAAGCAGCCAGCTCGTAGTCTTCCTGCTAGCAGGTATAACTTTTTTGATGCTAAATTTCATCTGCAACCATGTCATACATTAATCAAATTCGGTTCAGGTCCTTTACATTGAACCCCTTGTCTTGAACCCTGTCCTTGAGGCATCAGCTTCATTTACCCGTGGCTCAAGTAATAACAAAATCTTTGTATAGAAAGCAAAGCAGTACTGGGAGAGACCCCCCTCCAAAATGATTTAGTGAGCAGGTGGACATGGGAGACAAATTCAAGCCCCAAAGATTCTTGAGGAATGAGTCAGTTGCTCTAGTTTTAATAACCATGTCTTGCAATTTGCCCACTTCATATGTGCAGCTCCTCAATCATGCCAGGAACCTTCTTTACATATAGGTGCAGTGTTTGCTCCCCTCCAATCATTCACTAAAGTGACTGGTTGTACTTTGAAATTCTCTATTATATCTAGTGACTTATTCACTTCATCTCTTCTTCCAGCACCTCTAGCCCTAAAATCTGTTTTCTACCAGAAAATTGCAGAAAAACTCAGCAAGCAACCTCCTCAGTGTTTTCTGCCTGGGAGTCTTGATGAAAAGAAACCATATAGCTTTACAAAGCCTTTATCATCTTTAATTGCTTTTTAAGAGGTAATGACTCAGGACACCTATACAATCTTCGCAAGCTGTAGCACTGTGTGATGCATGGGATTAAGCCATACACACTTTATTCACTTGAGTCTCTAAGAGTAAATGTTCCCTGAAACAATTGTTTATGGTATTAGGAAATTGCTTCTCCTATCTTAGTTTCACTGCAATGTTCAATTAGTTTCTTTTTTGGCAGCTGAAGGTGTGAATCATATAATTGAGCTGTTTTAAAACCAGTATTTGATTAGGCCCATCAGAGAGGAGGAAGAGGCATCACCTCCCCCTGTCACCCAGAGCAAACCTGTTGCTTTCCCCACTGATCTCCGGGGGTCCCGGGACACGCAGAATGCAGGCTTGCCTAACACTGCCAGAAGAGAATACCGCTCTCCCGTAGGAGGCTGGGAGGGAAGGACCTGACGCACTGAACACTGCCAACTCCTCCACTCTCTGCAGAGGAATTCCTGGTCAGCGGCTACGCCCTTCGCACTATCTGGGCAGACAGTGTAGAAGGATCTACCCCAAAGAAGTGATTTTGTCTCTTTAGCTCTCTGAAATCTGTTTTTCTCTCGGGCTGAGAAGATTGAACTGAACGGGCTAGCATGAAAATTATGCTGCCTTGAAGAGGACAGCCTCTTCCCCTCCTCCCACTGACTGGAGGTGCCAGGCTCTGCAGCAGCTCTGTCCCACTCCCCTAGCTGGCTGATCCCTTACCAGATAGAGGTTCTTGAGCTTGGGAAGATTGAGCCCTGCTGTGCTCTCTAGCATGTTTCCTCGCAGCTCCAGGATTTGCAGGCTGAACAATTGGCCGTGACTCAGGCCCAGCGCTGTCTGGATTTTATTTCCTGGGTGCCAAAGGAGGAAGAAACAACGAGAGAGTTAATTCCACCCAAAGAGAGCATCCTATGTGCACAAGAATGAAGAGAGGTGGTCTGTGTCACCTTTCAGGCTGAGGTTAGCTAAGCGGGGGTGAGTAATGCCCTCCATATCCTTGATGCGGTTGTAAGCAAAGCTGATGATCTGGAGGTAGGGCAGCTCCTGCATGCAAGCACTGGTAAGCAGATTCCCATCCACCTTCAGCCAAAGCAGGTGGGTTAGGCTGCTCAGTGGAGACAAATCTTGCAGCTTGTTCTCTGACAAATCCACATACCGCAGGTGAATGAAGCATTGGAGGAGGCTGATGTCTGTCAAGTCCCTGTGGGAGAGAGGATGTGAATAAAACATCTCATATTTCCCCCTGCTACCAGCTTTCAGTTTGCTCCTCACCACTACTGGAGGGAGGGCATCCTCCTCTCCCACTTCCCTGCTGTCCTAGGAAGCCTTGCTGGAGAGAAGGAGGAAAAAGGCAGGTGAAAGGGACGGGCCAAATAGTCTGTAAACAAGGCCGCACATTAAGATTGGACCTGCTTTCCTGGCACACGGAGGACTTATTCCCATTGAACTCTACCTGTCAGGAGATGGCAGAACCAGACCAGAAAAGAGGTTAAGTTTGGGGGGGGTGGGTCTGTTAGACGGTAGTGGCAACACCAAGGACTGCGTGGAAGAACTTTGCTAGTGGGAAAAAGCTGGTTGAGATATCTATGAGGCTGCTGAAAGACACAGGTCTTACTGAGGCCTCTTAGTTAGGTCTAGGGTTATGTGGGTGTACTGGCGGGGCTGAGGCTCCAAACTGTCCCCAGGCCATTGTGGCACTGTACTTACAAGTGCATGCCTTAAAGTTTAGCAGTTAACAGGAGAGATGCTCAATGGATATTTCTCGAAGTGATTGTGGGGAGGTCACCCTGTTCAGGTCCCCCTAGGAGACCACAGTCCAGAGGGATGGACAGGCTCCCCTCAGTCTAGGGGGACACTGATGTTCCCACCAGTGTGTAGTGGAGGGAGGCCCCAGCTCAGGGCTGAAATCCCCAGCTCAGGGCTGAGGATGGACAAGCTATGCTGAGGCACAGACTGGAAGCCAGACAGCCGGAGAACATGGCCTGGAAATGCTCCTGCCCCACATGGCCGGTCACCAGTGGCCTTATGGCACAGCTGCTCCCTGGCTACATAGATGCCCGGGGAGGAGGAGGAGGCCTTCTCCTGGGGCAGGTG